AAAACAGGTAATATAGTTTCGTTCACCAAAATACAAAAGAAACATTGACACATTGAAATAAAAGTAGTGATACTATTATTTTTATAGTTACACATCCATGTGTCTTAGTACTCATTAATTTTTTTCTGAAGGCATATGTATATGGTGATTATTTTACACAAAAAGAAATTGGGGTTCAGAGAAGTGACGTTATTTGTGTGCAAACCCACAAATGTTGTTATGGCACAACGGAGTGAATTGAAATGTTTTTACTTCAAAGCCAGTGTTTGCAGTTTTTTACTCTCCTTGTGTTACTTTCCTATTTCATGGATTTGGAGTACTTTAAGATTGTGAAGTAAGAGACAAAGTAAAGGAACTGGTAAACATGTAGCTTTTATTCATGCATGATTTTAAAGCAAGGATTTTAAGCCTGGTGTTCATGAGAGAGTCTCTAAACAGCCACATCCAAAATTGTATGCATGTGTGCTTTTCCATTTTCATCACATGTTTAGAAGACTACAAGGTCACTGACACCCTTACCCCTCAAGATGAAGAATCAGGGCCTCCCCAGGGGCACAGCAGGTTGAGCGCAGTGCTGTGAAGCTGTCCACAGCCTCTGCAGTGTAGGTTCAATTCCCGGCCAGCCAGGGAGATACCTATATGGTGCGGCAGACCTCTCCTGTGTCACCTGCTGCTCCCATCCGCAGTGTTTTCAGTCTATCTGTCTGTCCTGCTCTCCACTCTGTCTCTGGTGAATCCTCTCACCCCCCACACTTCTGGCCTATACCCCATCTCTTGTATGAATAAATAAATATATCTTTAAAAAAAATGAAGAATTAAGAGTTACCATGGACTCTTCTAATTTTAATATTCTGTAAGTTTATGATTCTATGCTATGTGTAATCTTAGACACTGTTCTAAGAATGATTAAAAAGAATTGTAATGATAGGGACATTAAAAAGCATTTGTTTTATCCTCAGAAGCCGATGACCTTTAGACTAAGTTCCTCTTTCAGAACAGCGGATAGTTTTTATAGAATATATTCATTCATTCATTCATTCATTCACTCTTTTTTCCCTTTAATTAGGGTGGAATGTAGGTAGGGGGCATGCTTTCAAAACAAAAAAAGACTATTGAGTTATTTTTGAAGTACAGATAAATGCTTTGATTTTTAACCATATGCCATTCTTTAGTTTCTCTTTCTGTTCAATTCCAGGTATAAAGTCAGTGGCCAAAAATTGTGGTAATACATAGGTTACAGACTTTGTATTATCAGCATGTATTACCAGCATCAGCATAGCTACCTTTTTTTTTTAGATTTATTATTTATTTACTTATGCATATAAGAACTGAGTTATAGACCAGAGGTGTGGAGGGTGAGAGGATTCACCAGAGAAAATGTGGGAGCGGAACAGGCAAATCTACTGAAATACACTGTTGAGGGGAGCAGCAGGTGAGACATGAGGGGTCTGCTGCACCATGTGGGTCGGCTCCCTAGCTGGGGATCGAACTCATGTTGCAGTGGCCGATCATAGCATGAAAGTGCTGAGACTTAACCTCTTGCGCCACCAGGGAGGACTATTACAGCTACTTTTAGGGTGTTCATTGTAGTTTTTGGTTTGTGATAACCAAAATGTGAAGCAACTTAAAAATTCCTATCAGTAGGACAATCAGTAATTAAAAAAAATAAGTACACCTCTTTCAGATTGTTATAGATATTAAAGTTTAGTGTTCCAAGCTGGTTGAGCACAGTAAAATTAATTCTTAGACTGTGGTTACCAGAAGGAAAAGTGGGGAAGGGAATAGGACATTTACATGGGCGTTTTGGTGGGGGGGTGAATGAATCATGTGCGCACATGGTGGTGTGAAAATGTACCCCCAGAATGATATAGTTATGTAATAAATGAAAAATTAATAAAACTCAAAGTGAAAAGTTTGGTTTTCAAAGATTATTTAAAAGATACCTGAGACTTCTGATTTTGGTCAACAACTAGTAAAAAGAACTGAATTTACCCTCCTATTTAAAAGTGTTGAAAACCTAAACAAATATGTGAAAAAAACAATTTTGAAGACATTGAATATCTGGAAGCAAAGGAAAATGATCTCCAAAAGATGAAAAACTAACAAGTTGAGCATCGAGTTGCCTGGAGACTAGTTATATATCCTCAGTGTGTACATGTGAGGAAACTACCTGAGGGGCGCGCGCGCGCGCGCGCGAGAGAGAGAGAGAGAGAGAGAGAGAGAGAGAGAGAGAGAGAGAGAGAGAGAGAGAATATTCCTGGAAGCTCCTTGGGCTAGCACTAGAGAAATAGTGCTAATTAACCAACAAAACAATAAAATGGAATCATAAAGTATACTATTATAAAAGAAAAGGAAAAAGGGAACAAAAAAGTATGTAGGTCAAGTAGAAAATAATTAGTGACCATATTAATAATCCCATAAATCACACTGAAAATAATGATCTAAATCAGGGATTAGAAAACAAAAGTCAAATTGACTGCTTCACTTTTGTAAATGAAAGGTTTTTGTTGTTGGAACACAGCCATGCTCATTTGTTTATGTGTTGTCTGTGATGGCTTTTCTGCTACAAGGGCAGCTTTGAGTACTTATCAGAGACTTGTGGCTTGTGAAGCCTAAGATGTTTACTTGTTCACCCTATTCATAAAAAATTGCTGATTGCTGGCCTCTAAACATCCCAAATAAAGATACAGGTTGTTAGAAACCCACTTTATAAGACTGACATACTACCTACTTTGCTATTGAGGCTCTTTTACAACAAATTCACATTAAATATAAAAATACAACTAGCGTAAAAGAAAAGCTTGAAAAAGGTATACCATACTATAATGCCAAGTAAAGGAAAGCTGGAATGGTTATATAAATATCAAAGTAGATTTCAGACCAAAGAATATTATCTGAAATGAATATGTCATCATCATCAAGTAGATGTAACTGTTCTAAACAAATCTGATTTATGCCTTTGATAACTACTTCAAAATTCATGAAGCAACAGCTGATAGAACTGCATAGATAAGTAGAAAAATTTGTTATTAAACGGAGATTTCAATCTCCCCTCTTAAAACTACATAGAACTACTACACAGAAAGCCAATGAAGACATGAAGGCTCGAACAGCTCTAGCTACCAATCTGTGATATTTATAGAATGCTTCTCTCAGGGACTACAGATACACTTATTCTTTTCAAATGCACTGAAATATTTACCAAGATAGACCATATTCTGGACTATAAAACAAGTCTCATTAAAAGAATTTAAGTAGGGCTTCCCTAGTGGTGCAAGGGGTTAAGACACAACCTATGAAGCTGTCCATCCCCGGCCAGGGAGCTACCCACATGGCGCAGCAGACCTCTCTTGACTTGCCCGCTGCTTTACCCGCTGCTCCCCTCAGCAGTGTATTTCAGTCAGTCTGCCTGTTCTGTTCTCCGCTCTATCTCTGATGAATCCTCTCACCCTCCACACCTCTGGCCTATACCCCAGTTCTTGTGTACATAAATAAATCAATCTTAAAAAAAAAAAAAGAATTTAAGAAATACAAAGTATGCTTTTTAACCACAATGGAATTAAATTAGAAATCAGTAACAAAAAGTTATCTGTAAAAAAATTTAGAGACTACTACATTTCTAAATAACCCTTGGATCAAGAGAGAAATAAGAAAAGTTTAACTAGTCCACAGAGAACAGCCAGAGTGATCTTTTGAAGTTGTTAATTTGAATGTTACTTTCCCTGATGCTATCTGCTGGACAACTTTTCATAACTCCTAGGATAAAACTTAAAGTCCTTTAATATGGTTAGATGCCTTTTTACCTCTTGCTTGGAGTGTTCTAACCACGCAGGCTGCCTTTCAGTTTTTTTTAAATCTCTAAGATTATTTAACTCCAGAACTTTCTCGCATGGTATTTTTTGGAAAGGCAGTGGTTTTCTTCCTTTTCTTTCACTGGTTTACTGCATGGGGTCTTGGGGGGTGGAGAGGGATGGGGGAGGGTATATGTGTGTATGAGAGATTTGTTAATAACTCTTTCCTATATTAAGTCCAAAAAGTTCCTTCAAAGTGGAGACTGTTTTGTTCTCTTTTGTATAGAGATCACCAAGCCAATTCCGGTTGACATTATTGAATAAGTGTTTAGAGAAAATATATTAGATGGAAATATACCAACCCTTGAGTGCTGCATATTTGTTTTGTAAGATTTCCACAGTGGACTATTAATGACTTTCTAAGAAGAAAAGTTATAAGTAAAATATTGACTATACTTTTTGCCTTTATCTAGTAATAAAAAAAAAGTGCAGATATTATTTTGTGACTTTGAATTCTAGTTATTGATACTGTTGCAAAAGAAGTGACCTTGATATATATTTAAAGGGCACAATTCACATTGTATTGCTTATGAATGAGGACTTCTGGATAAGTAGAAAACAGAGACTTCTTTTAGTAGCAGTTTTGGGTATAGTATACCTACAGGTGTGTGTCTCTGTTTCTCTCCTGGAAGTGTATACAATTTATGTACCATCTTGCATTCTTCAACTTAGAGGATCTTGTATTTGTCTTTCTGTTACAAGTTTTTGATAGGTCATCTTTACTTAGGATGTATATCTTTTAGCACAGTTTTGATCAATTTTTACTTACGGAGAAAATTTTATAAGATTTTATAAATTCTTAGTATCCATCTATGGTAACTTTGCTTTATATGGTGAATATCCTCTCTCTATTTTTTTAAATATTTTTCTCTCCCCCAAAAGTGTAATTTAAAGCTTTTGTTTTTGAAGTAATGATCTGTTCAAAATAGGTCTAATCACTTTGAAGCTGTAAAAGTATTCTTAGAGAATTAGCAACTTGATCAAACAGCTTATTGTATTTATTTTTTACCCATCATTTAAATGATCTTGTTTCTCTCCTGGTTATGCTTTTCACAATGTTTGCATTATTATATACTTCTTTTTTTAAGATCACTTTCTTAATGTAGTTCATTTGTATCTATAATAAATGTATACCAACTTTTTTAACAGATAAGATAATTAGGCACAGGGCTTGTACCCTGAAAGACACGGCACATGCCATCATTGCAGCTGAATTAGACCCAGAATTTAATAAACTTTGTGAAGAAATTAAGGATGCAAGAATAAAACGAGGTAAGTTATAGAAATAAACTTGCTACTGAAGACTAAGAGTCATTGACTGACATTGAATGATGTTTCTTTAGGATTGCTGATATGAAAATAATGTGTTTTGAAGCACAGTCTTTAATTTCTGATACAAATATATGTTGTATACATTCTCAAGGATATTTAAATTTGGCTACTGTGAAAGTTTTAGTGTCATAGTGCAAATTAGGAAATGTGATTCCGCGTAAAATTTCTTTTGCAGGGGCACATCTCTGTTACTTACTAAATTTTAGTCTTTTTTTTTTTTTTAAGGATTTATTTATTTATTTATTCAAACACTGGGTACAGTCAGAAGCGCGGGAGGGTGAGAGAATCCACCAGAGCCAGAGCGGGGAGCAGAGCAGGCAGAAGGACCTAAGTACACTGCTGAGGGGAGCAGCGGGCGGCAGGAGAGGTCTGTGCGCCATGTGGGACCCTCCTCTGGTGGCTGGGGAGCAGCCAGGGATTGAACCGGCACTGCAGAGGCTGCGGGCAGCTTCGCAACCCAGTGCTCAACCGCTGCGCCACCGGGGAGGCCCTGAATTTTAGTCTTAAAGGACTTAGATAATTTTTATATCTGAAGAGGCTTTATTTTTCATCAGTTTATACCCAAATATTGATACTTTTGAGAAGTTTTTAGGAATACTGTTTTCCCTCATTAAAGTTTATGTGCACTTTTGTTGTTATTAACACAGAATTAGCAAATGTTGTTCATTCAGTATGTAAGTTCCTGAACAATTCACACTTTAGCAAGAGAAAGAAATGTAAAACAAGTCAAGTATAGTGTGGCATATACACTGGTAGAAGCATGTTCATAGCACAAAGTAGGGAGCTGGTATTTTGATCAGCTGAATGAATATAAGAGTTTGTATAGGGGATGAATATAAGAGTTTGTATCTAGTGGAGTAGGAAAGAGAGGCAATGACAGAGGAGGCGGCTGTATCATATGCATATTGAACAATAGCATGCATAAAGACACAGAGATGTGAAATAATGTGTATTAGAAGAAATGTTTGGTGTTGCTAAAGATGTGCAGAAAATAGTGGGAAGTAGTACTCAAGATCCAAGAATTGAGTGGACGCTGAAATTACGAAGAAGCTTTTCTTTTGGAGGCTTTCCCTTTTCTTCTAACCTCATGTAGGATCTAGTTACCACAGCCCTTGCTATTCTGTTTTTTTGGTTGTGTCTCTCTTTCTTATTTATAAGGACTGTGAATGTCTTGTTCCTAAAACTGCTGCAGTCCCTTGAACATCAGTGTGCAGTAGGTATTCTATAAATTTTTGAATGATTCATCATTCTATGCTAAGGAGCTTAGTTCTTATGTGGGTCAGTGTTTTTCAAATTGTGTGTGCCCATTACCTATATCAACTTAGACCTAATGAATTAGATTCTCTGAGCACAGTACCAAGAAACCTGCACTTTTACCACAATTCAAGTGGGGTTTTTTTTTTTTTAATAGAGGCATGTTTTATTATTTATTTGTTTGTTTGTTTGTTTTGTTTATACATGCACTGGGTATAGTCAGAAGCATGGGAGGGTGAGAGAATTCACCAGAGCCAGAGCGGGGAGCAGAGCAGGCAGAAGGACCGAAGTACACTGCTGAGGGGAGCAGCGGGCGGCAGGAGAGGTCTGCGCGCCATGTGGGACCCTTCTCCGGTGGCCGGGGAGCAGCCGGGGATCGAACTGGCGCTGCAGAGGCTGCGGGCAGCTTCACAACCCAGCGCTCAACCGCTGCGCCACGGGGGAGGCCCTCAAGTGGTTTTTATATAGGCTAAGGTTTGAGAACCATCGCCATAGTCACTAGGAATTACTGAAGGACTTTAAGCTGTGGAATGAATGGGTCAAGTTGCTTTGGCAGCAGGACATCACCAGGTCTCACTGTGGCAGGATAGGAAGATGAGAGACATTAAAATGCGACTGGAGCCAGTTTGGAAAACAGCAGGGCAGTGTTTAAAAGTAAAATTAATACCAATATGTTGAAAGTAACATACCATACTAAGACTCTGTGATGCTACTCTTAGGAATGTGCCCGAGAGAAATGTAAACATGCTCATAGCTGGTACATGAACATGCATTGTAGTAGTAGTTTTCACAGCAACTAAAAACTGAAAACAACCCAGATGTCTGTCAGCTGATTGAGTGGGTAAGCCAGGCTGGATGTATGTCCTTAGAGTTGTATCCCACTCAACAATAGTAAGAAATGAAATAATGATACGTGGAGGAACTTCAGAAACATTATGCCAGGGGAAAGAAGCCAGTCACAGTAAACCACATGTTGTGTGATTATTTATGAGATGTTCACAAAGGGCAGTTCTGTAGATAAAAGTGTATTAATGGTTTGCTGGTATTATTGTCTAAAATTGGTTTGCTTTGGTGATTGTACAGTTCTGTAAATTTACTAAAGATGTTTTAATTGTATGCTTAAAATGGATGATTTTATGTGGGAATGGAGATGAGATTAATATAAAAGAGGTTTGGCTGCAGGGCGCATTTTGAAGAACAGAGTCAAACTAGCTGACAATCCATGCGAATACTACGAAGTATAGATAGGGACTATATAAGGACTAACAGGTCATTTTTTTCTGGGGAAAGATAAATCAGTTATTTTTAATTTGATCTATCTTTAGAATAATCATTTGGTGATAATCAAATAGGCAGTTGGATATTTGAGTCAGAAGCTCAACAGATATTTAGGCTAGAGATGTAGTTTGGAAGGTTATTATATAATACCAGTAGAAGCTAAAGGCATGAATGATATTTTGTGGTGAAAGCTGTAGATTTAGAGTGAGAAGAAAAAGGAATTGCAGAGAAAAGCCTGAGAAACATCAACATTTATCGACTGTGCAGAAAACAGAAATCTAATGATAAAAATTGAGATGGAATGGTTGCTGATAGGTACATCAATGCAGGAAAGTCAAACTTACTCTCTGTAGTGAGGCAGGCAACTGATAGCACATGCACACCATTCCTGTGAATGGCATTTTCTGCTTTCAGTAAGCACGCATGCCGGCTAAGATGGCAGAAATCATGACTTTTAGACACTATATAACTTTTATTGTCTCACAGTCATGAAAATGTGAATGTGTCCCTTTGTAAATAAAATAAGTACACATAGAACACATTTAGGAATTAAGTGTAAGCATGGCCTGCTATTTTTTTTTAAAGATTTATTTATTTATGCATACAAGACCTGCAGTACAGGCCAGAGGTGTGTGGGGGTGCGAGGACTCACCAGAGATAGAGTGAGGAACAGAACTGGCAGATTGACCGAAGCACACTGCTGAGGGGAGCAGCAGGTGAGTCAGGAGAGGTCTGCTGCACCATGTGGGTAGCTCCCTGGCCAGGGATTGAACTCTTGCTTCAGTGGCTGTGAATAGCTTCATAGGTTGCGTCTTAACCCCTTGTGCCACTGGGGAGGCCCCAGGGCCTGCTATTTTTTATGTTTTTTAAAAATCTAGTTTCTTTCCCATTTTAAAACAAAAGATACTATTTCATCTGAATTACAAACTGTCCAAGTATAATTAATGACTAAAACTTAGTTCTATATTTCACACGTTTTTCTTAACCTTGTTGGTTTATGTAGTTAGGGATATTTAAATAGGTATCGCTTATCTTCTGCTTGCAGGCTTATCAGTAACAGCAGAACAAATAAATCCTCATGGTTCTGGAACTCGAAAGACAGAAACTAGAGTTGAAGAGGCATTTCGGCACAAACAAAGAAATCCAATGGATGTCTGGCACAACTCTGCAAATAAATGTGCATGTGAGTGTTTGAGATCATGTTATCCCATAGTGGGAACAACTGAAAACGATGCAGATTTGTTAGGAGTTGGGTACACAAACCCAAGGCTGGCTGTGTTCCCACAGCTCTTTTAATCTTCCGTCTTTTCGGAGATAAAAAGCTGTGGAGTAAGATGCTGAGTCAAATGTATTTCTTTAACCTTAATTGTTTTTCTGTCCCCATTCAGTACTTGCTGTTGAACTAGGTTTGCATGTTTTCAGTTTTAAACTTTAGTTTTTGGATAGAGATGTGCAGCCAGTAGGTTCTTTATTCACCCCTGCCCCCACCCCTGACTCTGTGCTGTGTGCTGTGCAGGATGTTCTTTTTATGGCGGACAGGCTTTTGAGAGTGGTTGATTTGATGGTAGAAAGTTGATTTTTCTGAGACACTGTTTTTGTGATCAGTATGAAAAATCTTTACAGCTATTTTTAGACCTAGTTTTATTTAAGTGAGATGTATTTTGAGGGGAAAAAAATCAACATTGTAGTTTTTCTTTATTTTTCCTCAGTTGTGGATCTATAAAATGTCTTTAAAATGTTTAATAAACATAGCATTTTCACAATATGATTCTTCAGTTTCACTGAAGCTAGACATCTTGGAAGTCATATATGCTGTCCTTTTGTTATGAGGTGGTGATACTGTTCTAAGTACCAAGTCTTTGACCAATGGCATTGAATGAATGAGCCATATGAATTTTTTTAGCTTATGCTGTTTCTGATATGGAAAATACTCATATGTGAGTAAATTTGAAGGACTTACTGGTATATTTTGTTCCATGAAATTGATTAAAACCATTTTACCTATTTTTTCCTCTGATCATATCCTGTATTATATAACACCACTCTGATTTAAACCATGAAATCCTTTATATTCTCTGTACCTGATATAAGTATTAAGTAAAACACATCAAGTGTTGGCTTTAAGCAGTTTATGTTCTCTTAAATTTTAAAATTTTATTTTTATCTATGAATATGAGTTTTTTTTTCTCTTACCAGTAGATGGCACATGTGACTAATCTTTATTTCACGTTAACTTACTTAAATCTAATGTCCCTAAGGAAGAGTTATTTCCTGAAGGGCTTCATTTGGGAAACAGTCTTAGAGATGCTATAAAAATTGACTCTGAAGATTGTGCCCCTAAATGGGCTTTTTTCACAAAGTACCACTGAAAAAGGAAATGATGATTGAAGATTATTTGCACAAATATTTCTACCACCTGTCAGGTACTCTGGAGAAAAAGCAGTGACTAAAACAAAAATCCCTGTTCCATGGAGGTAGAAGAATTAATTTATCTTTTTACTAAAATCATACTATTAGAAATCAATATACAAGGAGGGAGGCTATAGCTCTAGTTTTACTACCTCCCAGATAAGAACATTTCTTTGTTCTTAACCAGGATCAGATCTTTAGAAGTAAACTACTTCAGTAGGGTTTCTAGTCTTTACTTAGTATACCACATATAAAGTAATCGAGCTCGCTCTTAATTGAGCAGTTTCCACCTCCTCTTGTGCTGGAGTTCTACGGCCTCAGAAGAGGAGACTAAGTGAAGTCACAATGTCAGGAGTGACATGTCAGATAGTACAAACCATCAGATGACTTGAACTGTGTAGAAATGATTTCAAACAAAACCTTTTGATTTTTTCCTTAGATAAGAAAGGAGTAGTATTTATAATAAAACTTCTCCATTTTCTGTGAATACTTTGGTATTTTTGTAGACTCAATAAGGATTAAGATGAAAAGATAAAAATAGTATATAAAAATATCATATACACTGTGGGTAAAGTCACAAGATCATACTAAGGGGTGAAATATAAGGAACAAGGTTGTCATAAGACCATGTTCCCTTCTGTTTGTCTTTCAAAAGCAATTTTCAAACTCTGGATTAAACAATTTACACTTAGGTTCACATATTTGCATTTTCTTTTTTAAATATCTTTGTCCAGAATGCATTTCAACTCTGGTATGTTAAAAAAAAATCTTTTCTGTTTTAAAAGTAAGTCAAACTTAACATTGCACTTATAGCCTGTTAAACAAAATGAATTATTTTTACTCTGATGGTGTTCAACAAACTAAATGTTTAGAATTTTGGGTTGGATATGAGCAGTGATATGTTTCTAACTTAACTAGTTTGTTTTAATAAATTTTGTATTTAAATTTCTTTATGCTAGTGTCCCAAATTGCAAAATAAAAACTAAGTTTTTATTTAGTTAACGGATAGTGTGGTAAATTTTTTTTTTTTTAATTTTATTCATTTATTTATTTATTTATTTATTTATTTAACACAAGCACTGGGTATAGTCAGAAGCACGGGAGGGTGAGAGAATTCACCAGAGCCAGAGTGGGGAGCAGAGCAGGCAGAAGGGCCGAAGTACACTGCTGAGGGGAGCAGCGGGCGGCAGGAGAGGTCTGCGCGCCATGTGGGACCCTCCTCCGGTGGGCGGGGAGCAGCTGGGATTGAACCGGCTGCTCCCGGGGATCGAACCGGCGCTGGCAGCTTCGCAACCCAGCGCTCCACCGCTGTGCCACCGGGGAAGCCCTAGTGTGGTAAATTTTTATAACCAGCTACCTTTGATACCTATATGGGAAATTAAAGGTGCCTGTGTCCATTATTACCTTTAAGTACCAACCATCTACTCATAAAACTCATGATTGTTCCTACCATTGAAGTGTATAGTCCCTCCAACTTTTGTAGGTCTCTCTTTCCATGTAATTGGTCAAATAATTATTATCAATGTTTTGTTAATTGATATTGTCATCTTGCAGCAGGCTTAAGTTTTCAAATAATAGCTTGCAAGAAATTGATTCTACTAGGTGAACTATTCCTATTAGAGGAGGCAAACACTTTGGACTTACCAAAGTGTCCATATAACTTGTATAGGACTTCTACTCGTGACCATACTTACAATGGGTGATTCCTTCTTCTGGAAGGAAAGGCAGTGGAGATTTCTTTTTAGGGATACTTGTGGCTAATCTGTCTTGATATACTGGGTCATGTCTTTATTTCCTTTCATGACTTAGGAGCTTTTGGTTGAACTTGCTGGCAAAACACTGACTGTCCTGGTGGAAATTCAGGACTGTGATCCTCAACCTATTGTGCAGCCTGGCGAGATGGTCTTTCCCTAAACATGTACAATATGTCATTGGCCCCTAGATGTTAGGAATTAGGAACAGCTATAAAATAAAATTTAGGGTAATAGAAAAAAATAATGCTTAGTAAACACATACAGGAAATAAATTTAAAAAAGGTGTTCATTCTTCAGAGTTCATCCCTGACTTTTATGCTTTCTACTTGTAAGTTGTGAGAATTAGAAGGCATATCAAGGGTTATGTAGGTTTTGTTTGTAACATCAATATATGTGTCTTTTGTGTCATATTTAATAAACATGTGTAATAAAACATGTGAAACAGGAATAGCACTCTAATTTGTACCTGTCTTTTCCCCTTGTAATACAGTTCGAGTTCGGAGAAAATCAAGGCGGCGATCACAGTGGGGTAAAGGAATTATTAAGAAAAGGAAAGTCAATAATTTAAAAAAAGATGAAGAGGACACCAAATTTGCAGACTATGAGAACCATACAGAGGACAGGAAGTTGCTGGAGAATGGAGAGTTTGAGGTAAGCACTGACTGCCATGAAGAAAATGGAGAAGAGACTGGAGACTTATCTATGACCAACGATGAATCATCGTGTGACATCATGGACATGGACCAGGGGCAGAGGCTTAACAATGGAGCCGGCACAAAAGAGAACTTTGCATCTACTGAAGAGGAAAGTTCAAATGAGTCTCTGCTTGTCAACAGTAGCAGCTCTCTAAATCCAGAACAGACATCTAGGAAAGAAGCTTTCCTTAAAGGAAGCTGTCTAAATGGTGAGGCCTCCACCGACAGTTTTGAAGGAATACCAGTTCTGGAGTGTCAGAATGGCAAAGCTGAAGTAGTTTCTTTCTGTGGTAGTGGAGACAAATGTAGTTCTGAACAAAAGGTCCTTCTGGAAGACCAGTCTAAAGAAAAAACAGAAACTTCAAGTGAAAGTCATGGAGATGATCCTGAGAAACTGGAAGCACTGGAATGTAGCATTAATGAGAAGTTAGAACCTGGCCCTGATGTGGAGGTTAAAGATGCAGAACTGGATAAAGAAGGTAGAGCTAATATTTTTTAAATATTTGAAGGTTTAAACTCCAGAGTTCATTAATTACATACTTTATCTGGTATCTCAGTAGCAAAAATTGATCAGTAATTATATCCCTTTAGAATCTGTTAAAGTTTTCATCCCTTTCCCTAGAAAAGTACACATATACACCACATTGTGGTGAAAGTTTTAGAAGGTTTTTGGTCCACAATATACAATCTTGAATGCTTGCTCTTCTACCTCTTACCTGATTATCATCCCTATCGTAGTGGATTTAAGACTAAAAGCTGAGTAAATCCACATGTGTTAAGAAGATGGAATTCTAATGAGAATTATTGGGATGGGGTAATGGTGGGCTTGGCAGTATGGTGTAGTGGAGTCTTATAGACCCACAGTTAAATCACTATTCCTGTTAATTATAATCATGTGACTTTCTGCTGGTTACTTAGATTCTCCAACCCTGTTTTTTCATCTTCTAAATTAAACCTCAGAATGGTATCACCACTCGGAATAAGTCATGTATATTAATCTCCTTTGCTGGTAGACCAAGGTGTCTTAATTCCAGGCCGTCACTGTTAGTTGAATCTGAGGGATGTTTAATCTAAGATGTTCTATTGGTTTGTGTGGCTTGTGGTGGAGGAGAGCATCAGAACCCTCATTGTCAAATTTACCTTGACTTGCAGAGTTAGAGCCTTCTGCTACCTCCTAACTTCCTCTAACTATATGATTCTTTTAAGATACAAAAGGGGGAGTTAAGGTTTCTAGCTCTGATTTTTTTTCTCGTTAGCCTTGAGCTTACAGTGAGATGGAGTGAGTTAGAGTTAGTATACCTTTTCTCTTTGAATACATTTCCTAGTACTCTTCTTTTACTAGACTAGCTTGGGAACATATTACGCTGTCTAAATTGTGTGGAGAATAGAGCTTTAGACTTGGACTTGGGCAATGAAGGAAAAGTTTTCTTTTTGTAGCCACCTTCCTAGCAGAATTAGGAAGTAGGAAGGTATTATTCACAGTCTTAGAATTATTTTATTGTATGAAGAGAGATATATTGTTCTTAAATGCTACTTGTTGAGAATTTTTCTTTTTCTGCAGTGTTTAATAATAGAAAGTAGTTTGAAGAGCAGTATTTATTCTAGGCTGTCATACAGACAGAACTTTATAAATGTGTTAAGTTAGAGTTAAGTAATGAATGAAACAGTGAGCAGAAGGAAGTGCTATGTATTATGAAGCAGAATGGTTGCTGGGGGAAGGAGTCTTTGAATGCTACTTCACCCTGAAATTTTAGTAAGCTTGCAGAAAAGGTATAAATTAATATTATGTTGAATTGATCTGAAAGCTTCAAGTGTAGTTGTATAAAAACTGGAAGTTTTATTTGTGACTATCAGAACAGTATTACCTAGTTCAGTAACTCCTAATCTACGCGGTCTCAGGCCTCTAGAAGTGCACGGATGCATTTTTTTTTTTTAATTTTTTTTTAAGATTTATTTATTTATTTATACAAGCACTAGGTACAGTCAGAAGCGCGGGAGGGTGAGAGAACCCACCAGAGCCAGAGCGGGGAGCAGAGCAGGCAGAAGGACCGAAGTACACTGCTGAGGGGAAGCAGCGGGTTGCAGAGAGGTCTGCGCGCCATGTGGGACCCTCCTCCAGTGGCAGGGGAGCAGCCGGGGATCGAACCGGCGCTGCAGAGGCTGCGGGCAGCTTCGCAACCCAGCACTCAACTGCTGCGCCACCGGGGAGGCCCATGCATGGATGTATTAATGAGGAGTGTTTTAACAACACTTCTAGCATATGTTAATTGAACTATAAATAAAAGTTTTCACTCTAGTGAAGTCTGAAATTTTTTCTAGTACATTTTGGTATACGTTTCTGAAGGCAACATTTCTGTTCTTTCACTATATGTCTGCAGTGGACATTGATGAGAAGAAAGAGTTTAAAGATCTGGGAATGTGAGGACTAATACAGGAGGGAGGCCAAGGTTCTCCTTAGAGTCTCTGACACAGGCCAGGTCCTGTCGAGAGTGATGAGGCAGTCCGAGTTTGCCCTTTGTTCTCTCTGCCTCAGCCTGCTCTTGGAACTTACTCCTATTTAGAGGAACAGAGGGCTCAAGGGTCTGCCTGCCCTCCCTATTCTTCAGATTCCGGTTGCTGTCAAATTATGCTCACCCACCTCAAAATTTTTTTTCACTGTGGCTGATCACAGCCAAATGTTGGGTGGAGAATAATTATTGTTTTACTCTGAGGAAAAAGCAATATGATAGGTTTATATTTTTAAGAAAAATGTTATAATCAGATCCTGTCTATTTCTAGTATAGACAGTATAGCAGAGAAAAATAAGAAATTTCAGGCAATATTGAGGCAAACTTGTAGTAGATAGGGTGGCCTCACTCTGTGCTAGTATCAGCTTTTCTAGGTTGCTTATTTTCTCCCACCTGAAAATGATGGCTCTCTCATCGATAGTGAAGGCTGTTTATCAATTACCGCTTGGAGGTGAAGATTGCTTTTATCTCAAGTGGATGTTTCTTAGATAATATTCTGATATAGTTTGGCTTTCGTAGCTGTGGTTATTTTTTAATTTGTATTACTTTTGGGGGCGTGTTATTATTGTCTCCCCCACTGAGGGGTGATTGTTTATTGTCCTCCTCCCCTCATCCCAAGGAATTGTGATGTATAAAAGAGTTTATTACTTGCTTTACTGTTTTTTCTCTTCCATCAATTATAGGTGCTTCTAAAGTAAAGAAATTTCGTAAGTTAATTTTAGAGCAGGCAAAAACAACAAGCCTGGAACTGGTTCCAGAAGAACCATCTGAACCTGTGCCACCTCTTATAGTTGATCGTGAGAGATTAAAGGTAAGCTTAGTTGTTCCTGGTCATTTTCAAATGACTAGAAAGAGATTTGAATATGTTTGTGGCAGTTCAATCATCAACTTGCTTTGGAAATCTCTTGCTTGTATATTTTAACATATATTTTTAATGAAGTACCATTATTTTACCTCCTTGTTAATTTTTTCACTGTATGGAATTTCTCCCTGCAGGTGTGGTCAGCATAGTTCGTCCACCATGAAAGCACCCATAATCCTTCAACACAGTCCATTGTGTTCGCTCCCTGCCTGCTTCCTCTCCTCCCCCTTTTCCCCTCCTCTCGTCTCTCTTCTCCCTCCCTTCCTGGATACTTCAGATCTATGGTCGGCTTTCAAGGACTGATTTTAAAGTTTGCCTTTGTCTTATCCTTTGTTTGATTTCCCTGTATTCCACATATAAGTGAACCCATGTGGTATTTTTTTTTTTTCTCCTTCTGGTTTGTTTCACATAGGATAATCCCCTCCAGTTCCATCCATGTTGCTGCGAATGGCATGAGTCTCTCCTTTTTTGATTGCCAAGTAGTATCCATTGCACATATATACACCACAGCTTTTTCATCATTCATCTTTTCTGGGGCATTTAGGTTGTTGTATCCGTATCTTGGCTATTGTAAATAGTGCTGCTATAAACATGGGAGTGCAGGTTTCCTAGGAATAGCTTTAAGATTTCTGGTTATGTGTGTTTTGAGGGGTTCAGAAATATGAGAATGATCTTGGTAATAAACTAAGCCCTAGAATCTTCTAAACTCAGGTGTCACTGTTAAACACTATAGCCTAAGGTATCTGTTGCCTAACCATTCAAATATTACTGTTTCAGTTTTGACAAGTGAAATCAAACTTCATTTTTTCTTCTATTATTTTTTTCTTTAATTTTTCTTAGAAATTGCTTGATTTGTTGGTAGATAAAAGCAACAATCTGGCAGTTGATCAACTTGAGAGATTATATTCTCTTCTTAGTCAGTGCATCTATCGCCATCGTAAAGATTATGACAAATCACAACTTGTAGAGGTAAGTGCTTAGTTTATTTGTAGAATAAATAAATATATGTTTCTATTGGTCTGAAAGGAAAGAAAAAATATAGTTTATATTTTTCACCAAGGAACTAAAGAGTGCTTGAAGACTTGTGATTAGAAGAATCATTAAGAGTTATATGTGATGAATTAAGTCTTTTTGTACCATTTCGTCTCAGAACAGAAGTAACTTACTGGTCTTTGTTTTCAAAGTATGGAAACATACTTTAAGTGATTTTTGAAGTGGCAAATACGCGGAATTGCATATCAGAATTTCTCGTCCCCAACTTATTACTGACACCACACGTTAAGCATATCACTGGACCCTTTGCATGTGCACATGCTCTCCCCTCCTCGCCACTGCTCGCTGGCCTGCTGCTGCTGATAAAGCTGTTGGCATGGACAGCGAGATTATCTGCCCTTCTCATTAAGGATTGGGAGAGAATAAAAAATCATCTTATTTAGTTAGAACTAGTTCTGTATAAAGAAATAAAAGTCACATGAGAGAGTGGGGTGTCTTTTTACTTAGACACTGTGGAGATGAACCATTCCCTTTTTAGACAACTTTTGGTCTTAAGAAAATTCTTTTTTTAAATACTAGTTTGTATCTCTCTTCATATAATTTATATCATTAAGCCATATTTCTGCTTTTTGAGGTTATCATGAGCAAATGTAATTAATCATTTACCCACTAAATGGCTAAGTGACTTAATTCGATTCTCTTTGTTCATTTGCCTGTTTATCTGATGGTCTAACTATTAAATATTTATTAAGTAACTGTGCTAGATCTTTTGGATGCAGAAAATGTATAAAGCAAAGTGCCCTCTCTCAAGGAGCATTTCGAAGATTAAAGATTTATATGTAGATAATGTATAATAAGAAATACTGAACGTGAATCAAAGTAAGAGGGCATTAAAAGTTACTTTGTGTTTATATTTGTTAGTCACAAATTTATGAATCTATAGTGTCATTATACAATATATAGAATAAGAGGAAAGCACAAATGAGAAAATAAAAACATCATCCATATCTAGGGAAAAACTAGTCAGTGTTATTCTTTTGGAATATCTTCTATCCTTTAAAAATGTCTAGATATACACAGTGTATATTTAACAATTGGGATCATCTTGTGTATTTTGTTTTATAATCTGACTTTTTCCTACTCTTTAATATGTGATTTAGCTGGAGTGGTGTTGATTGACCAGACAGAAGAAATTTTTTTTTTAAGTCCCTACATTTTTGGAGTATTTATTTTTTTTCTTTTTAAATTTTTTTAAATCTTATATAGACTAATTATAATAAAGTAAAAATCAAAATCAACAAGCACGTATAAACCAGAGACAGAAGAACTTTTTGATCAGATGATAATCTGTTATTCTGACCCATTAGTTCTATAGAGATATAGAATATAATTTCTTTGGAGGTGTTTAAAGGGAGAAGGGGAAACCCAACGTCTTCATCATGTGAGATGAAGTTCTTCACCTTTATTTTTTATTCTAGAACTTCTTTGTTCATATGATAGATGTTTAATTAGCTTCGATTGATTGAATATTCTTCATCGGTGAAACATCTTTCAATATGGGACTCGCAATCTAGGGGCCTCCTTTAGGGAGGAATGGGACCAGTAGCAGAATCACCAGTGAGTGACATTCCTGGTGTGGTCATGGCAGTGATTCTTTCTGGATTTTCTCTCCCAGTACTGGCTGGAGTAAATAGGCATTGGGAAGAGGGTGAATTGTACTTTTGGGACAACTGTCACTTACCAAGTGCTTTCATTTTGCTTTGGGAGTTAATCAAATATGAGTAAGGAAGGAAGGACTCAGGTTCTGGAGTGAGGCTTACCTGTATTCAAGTCCTGACTCTGCTATTTATATATATAAATATTTCTCCCACCCTTGGTGCAATATCTGGCACAGTGAGTACCCGTTGATGGTACTAGCACCATTCTCATAGCCTAAATATAAAATAGGAGGCATTCAGAAGTGTCTAGGGCAGATGGGCTTACAGAATAGAGTAGCTATGTTATTGTAATCAGGAAAATATTTAAAGCTTAGCTGGTATCTAAAATTCTTTCTCTCATAAGGTAAAGTGACTTTTCCCATAATACTTTGTCCTTTAATAGATAACATGCACTTTTTTTTTCCTTTATAGGAGATGGAAAGAACAGTTCATATGTTTGAGACATTCCTATGAACTTGTCAAGATGAGTGGTTTATCCTCTCCACTCTGCTCCTGACAGAGCAGTCTTCTGAGCCATTCAATTTTGAATTGCACCAATTATGTGCAGAGCCTTGGTGTAAAGTGCTCTCTCACTCATTCTTTCTCTCTGTTGAATTTGGTGCTATTGTCTCAGGTACCTGAAACCAACCAGCCTACAAGAACCAAACAGAACTTCAGAAACATGTTGTATTTTCCACAAATAAAAAATACAACCCCACAGATTGGAGATTTTGGTGCTACAGAAACTGCTCTCACTTCTGCTCCTCTTTTTGTGCACTCTCTTTTGGAGACTTCTCTCTTAGGGAGCAGACCAGCAAACATGAGGAATCTGGATGGGGGCAGTTCTAACTGTGTTGAATCGTTAAACAGTGGGCAACCTGTTATTTTTTTTTTTCTCTTTCTATCCCTTTTATCATATTTTTTTTCCCTCTGGCTAATGGACTGAAACCTGTTTTAGAGTTGGCTATGGTATAGTCTGGTGGGGAACTGAAGAAACGGGATGAAATTAGGTTAGGCTCTTTAGAACTGCCTTTAATGTGCCTTTTTATTATTTGAGAGAGAGAAGGCTAAACAAAAGGATGGGCTTGTTTGTAGCAAAAGAATTAGAGTCTTTTCTTTGGCCACAGACTTGAAAGTAAATTGTGATATTCTTGTGTCATTAAGAGGCAACAAGTGTTTTGGTATAAAATGCCAATCTTGTTTTCAAAACTTAAAAAATCTTTCAGCCACATAATATACTAAAATAAGTTTTCCTCTATAGTCTATTTCTATTTAAGAAACGTAATGAAACAACGACTAATGATGATGATGATGATGATGGTGGTGATGGTGATGATGATAATAGTAACACATACCCCCCCAAAAAAAAAAAACACATTTTTTCGGTATTGCTGACAATGATGATCAGAAAGTAGATAGCGGCCTTTCTTTCTTCTATCAGTGCTGATTTAACCGTTATTCATGTTTGAGTTCTCAGAGAAAATGATTTTCATGTATAGTAAATTGTTACTTTTTTTTAAAAGCCAGGACTTGCCAAATGGACAGAAATGAGAGGAATTTGTCAAAAGCTCCATAAAATTTATTTTCTGTATGCGTACTTGCAAGTGAGCTCTGTTATGGTCCTTGAATAACAGTATTAATGTCTGAAATCCCTTCCATAAGCTTACCTTCACAACTCTTCGTTTTGATTGGGACCCATTTTGGATCGTGTTGAGTGATTTCTGTGAATTGTACTTACCTAAAATTAATTATGGGTAGTACTTGTTTTACAAAAAGTTTATGTAAATTTGGAGACACAGTCTAGGCAGTTGCAAAGAGGCAAAGGGAGTGCAGTGACATTTTTTTTTATCAGATTTAAACAGAAAAGTAGAAAATTTTGACAAGTTGGCTTGATATCTTCATTCATTATAGCTCTAAGCTGCAGGTGTGTCTTTCCAATATATGCAACACATGTAGTTTGGTTTTTAATTAGAACAAATGGTCTTGGACTACTGCAGAGACACTGAGCTACCTCAGCGTTTTGTACTCTAGTTACCAACAGTGTTTACAGAGGCCTCTAATCACCTTGCCACCATTTACATGTGAAGCTAAGGTACTTGTCTCCTTGTCTCTGCCTATTTGTAGTGTGCAGGATGCCAGCCCAGAAAGCACACTTCCGCCATAGGCTACTGCAGTAATCCTAAGTGCTTCTTTGCATTTACATTAACATTTTACACCTTCTAATTCTAGCTTAATTTTTGAAAAATGTCACTTGCTTTCTTTATACCTAGCCTATGAAGTTTTCATAATATTCAGTTAATCATATAGTCAAGATGCTACCCATGTAGACACACTGTATTTTTAAGGTGGGCAAGTGCGATTAACGATGAACCATTTTAAAGGGGAGGTTATTTGAAACCTCTAATTTGATTATTGGGAGGATTTTCATGCTTTCTTTATATTACCATCATACCAGTTCAGACTATTTTACTGTCTAATAATACATTAGCATTTTGTATTTTGATGGAAATTGTTACAGAATTTAAAGATTTGATGAAATAAGATGTAGCAGATTTTTTGTAGCAAGTTTCTGGTAAAAGGGTTTTTTGCAAGTCTCAGGTTCTTGCTGCACTATTTTTTTTTAAATATTTATTCCAGTTACTCTAATTCAGAAGCATTCTGTTCAAGTAACAGCAGCACTCGTGAAAGGAAAAAAAAAATGCACATGTTCTTAGTAGGTTACTAAATTTGTACAAGTTAATTAAGATTTTAGCCATCAGTGAGTTTGACAAGGGGAATTTATTTATGTTTAGCATTAAAATGCTTCCAAAAGATCAAGGTTTTTTGTTTTGTTTTGTTTTTTAATTCTAACCTTAATATAGATGGAGAAATAGGAGGCAACCTCAGTATAATAGGAATTGCCACTTTGAACAGTCTAGGTCTTAAAGAGAAAGCCAGTCTAATGGCATGGGGAGAAAAATGAGCTGAAATTGTACCAACTCCTCCGGTCCCCTGTCCCCCCAAAAGAAACACACTATACTGGTTTTGCTTATTTTACAGATATCTGGTGGTTCTATAATTTAAAGCAGCTTGTGAAATTATCCAAGTGGACGCAATTTTGTTTACCTTTCTGTAAGTTCTTAATTTTTGCTGTATAGCATTGGCAAAAAATATGTACAAATTGACCTCTGTTCTTATTTCCTATTGTGAGCATTATAAATGATAAGCTCCTGTGTAAAACTTTGCTCTTAGATCAGTAAAATATGTATCAACAGCACAGCCCAACAATAGTTACTACTCAGCTGTGGGGACCTTGGGAGCTTTTTTTGAAGATGATGGAACCGCACTAGGGTTAAAACTGATGGCTGTGGAGTTAATTGTGTTTTTGAGCTTGAATCTCACCTGTGATTAATTTTTTTGTTTGTTTTTTGTTTTATGTCCTTTCATGACTTGATTTTTCTCATATGCCAATGTATTTGTGGGTTTACTGGATTTTATTTTTAGGGAGTGGGGTGGTAATATCTTCCTGTTTTTTGATTAAGTTGGTTCAGCTATGGTGCTATTCAGTATAGGTTTTCACTGTCAGGTCCCGTAGCTGAATGCCATTGTTATTATAATTATTATTTGTAATCACATTGTAAGCTTGAATTTGGGTTTGTACCTGCAGCTTTTGTATTTTGTACATTTGGTTATTTAGACTTTGGGAGTCCTTTGGTTTCCGTCATGTATGTCTACTTTGTAGAATAAGTAGACTTCATCAACTATGGTCTAATTTTGGGTTTGTAGTTTAATTTAGAATTGTGTTAAGTTGATGTTTTGCATTTGACTTCATTTTACATTAGTTTGAAGTAAATTATTTAATTTTTGAATTCTGGAATTTTGAACATTTACTGTAATTTGTAATATAACTGCTGTGAAATACTTGAATAAAGATGACAAGAAAAACATGTCTTTCTTTAGCTTAATTATGGTTACTGTGGGCTGCAAATGCAATGGTACTTTTTTGGCTGAATTCATCTTTTATGCTGCTAGGGCATATTGATGTTTATTAAGCACCCCAAAAAATCTTAGTATGTTTTTCTTCTAGATTTTAGTAGCCCGCAATATTTCTTTAGCTAAATACTTTTCTGTTGAGAAAATTTGTTTTTTTTTTTTTTAATTTATTTGTTCATTTTTTCCCCTTTTATTGAGGTGACATTGTTTACAACACTTTTTATGATTTAGGTGAATAGGTTCTCACCTCCTCAGATGTATGTTACCACTCCACCTCTGCCATCCAAACAGAGGAGGTTTGGTTTTAATTTCAGAAGACTGACTAAATTATGTTGTATAGAAGCAAATGGGCAAGTCCTGAAAGTGCTTTTCTAACCAGAAGAGTTAAATAGATGACCAGGTAGTATGGTTCATTTTTTTAATAGTGTTTTCCCTTGGATCAGATGGTTATCAGCATACTTTGAACAATACATAGTATTTAAATATGGAGAGAGATTTCACACCAGACTTGAGAGACTTGTTGCTTCCTTGTTTCTGTTGTCTACTCAGGTATCTTTTCATGTTCTACTCAGATATCTTAATCTGTTCCTGGATTAGCACACTAATCGTTCTCAATGTAAATCCTTAATTTTCTCTCTTTTTTTTTTTAAATCAGACTCTTTTAATTGTATTTGAATTTTAGGAGATAGGTTATCATCATCCCCATTTTATAGGCCAAGCAACTGAGACATATTTTGCCCTAGGTCACCCAGCAGCCTGATTCCAGAGTTGCTGCACTTCAATCACTTGATTGCTTCCTAGGGATGTGGACAGACACAAGTCTGTCAGTTCAGTGTAATATGGTGTGTGTTAGGATTGAGTTATACAGAAGATGCTGTGGGTGCAGAGCCAGGGAGATGTAGCCCAACCTCTAGGAAGCTTCCAGCAAAAACCTGATGCTTGAGCTCGGGCATCAAGAAGGGAAAGGCCTTCCATGTGGAAGAAACAACAGAAGCAGAGACTGGGAGAAGAAATAGCATGACAGCTGCAGGGGAAAGTACAGGCCGTTCCATATCACCACAGGTCAACATTTATTTAACAAATTTATGTGAGCAACTGCCACTTGCCAAGCACAGTTCTTGGCATTAGAGTTAGAGCTGAGGACAGCACAGCAGGGTCCTGTTCTGAGGTTCTCTTGGCGCTTACAGTCTGGCAGGTAAAGAGTAAACAGGATGTTAACCAACAGTGGCAAATACTCGGAAGACAAGTATGGCAGTAGTACTGTGGCAGCGAACACTGAGTGCTGGGGACTGGTCTAAGAACCGTTTAATTATCACAGCATCTATATGAGGTAAGTATTGTTGGTTGGACTTAATAGGAGGGGACGCTGGCCTACAGAGTTGGTTAGCAACTCGCCGAAGGCCACTCAACTAATGAGTGTCTGCTGGGATTCTGGCGTGGCTTTGGCACTTGGATTCTTCACTGATCCACCATTAAGGTGAATGATAAACTCATTTGCCCTTATTCAGATTTCTTTCCTCATTGATACACATTTTTAGGGCCATAGAATACTACGGAGAGTAATATAAAATGCATGTTCCACCTAGGAGCAAATGTTAACGGTTTGTCCTAATTGTCTTTTTTTTTTTTTTTTTTTAAAAAAAGAAAAGTTCTGGAGTAGGTCAAAGTCCCCAGTCCCATTCCTTTTTCTTTCCCAGAGACAGCCACTCTGATCCCTTGGACGAACTTCTTTCCTGTCCAGTTTTAATTCGTTTGAGAAAGTAATAACATGGGGTCCAGAAACCAGACTGGGTGAGTCAGAGTCCTGGTTATATCCCTGCTTAGGGGTGTGACATGTGGCACCTCGCTGCACATTGTTTCACCTGTAAGATGGGGAACAGTGATAGTACTGAGCCCAATGTGGTTCTGGTGGGGCTTTTGAGTCCGAGTCCACATATGTGAAGAAAGCACTTAGAGCAGTACTGAACACGTACTACATGCTCAGTGAGTCTGATTCAAACTCTAGTTGTCACAACTATTGTATTTGTATATATCCATAAAATGGTTTGATTTTTTAAAAGTATACATAAATGGAATTTTTGTACATTTTGTTAAAGTTTATGTATTTAAGTTAGCAAAAGATGTTTGTAGTTTAAAGAGTAGAGTAGTTCCAGGAGACTTGTATTAAAAAAGCCAGCACAGCACTCCTCTGATTTCCCTTCCCCAGAAATATTTCTCCCCAGAGCCACTTGTTTTCAACACCTGTAAGTAATTATTTTGGTTTGCATCTTTGTAATTATAAATAATGTTTTCATATGGCTACTCTTTTATTTTTCAGTTTCGCCACTATCTTTTGAGTGCCAATCATGGGAGAAAATAGTCACACCTGTCCCCAGCACACCTGTACTTCTTGTTTTCTCATCCTTTTAGTTGGTTATAATTTTTATTAGTTTATTACTCTGTTATTGTGACTGAAAACAATTGAAGATGAGATATTTAGTGCACTGTGATTAGTTTTCCTTTCCTGCACATTTTGTGGTTAATAATCGTTTTTGTTATTTGCCTTTTTTTTTTTTTTTTAAGATTTATTTATTTATTTATTTATTTATGCAAGCACTGGGTACAGTCAGAAGCGTGGGAGGGTGAGAGAATTCACTAGAGCCAGAGCGGGGAGCAGAGCAGGCAGAAGGACCGAAGCACACTGCTGAGGGGAGCAGCGGGCGGCAGGAGAGGTCTGCGCGCCCTGTGGGACCCGCCTCCGGTGGCCGGGGAGCAGCCGGGGAGAGGCCGCGGGCAGCTTTGCAACCCAGCGCTCAACCGTTGCTCCACCGGGGAGGCCCTATTTGCCTGTTTTTCTATGTATTTTCAATGATTTATTTTTATTGAGATATAATTGACATCAGTTTCAGGTGTACAACCTCATGATTCAATATTTGGACACTTTGTGAAATGGTCACCACAGTAAGTCTAGTTAATATCCATCATCGTATATACTTTTTCTTTTTTTGTGATGACAACTTGTAAGATCTCATCAATTCTCAAACACATGACACAGTATTAACTGTAGTCACTACGCTGCACATCACGTTCCCAGGACTGACTTAAGTACAGCTGGAAGTTTGTGCCTTTTGAGCCCCTTCACCAACTTCCCCGCCTATGCCCCCCACCCTGCTCTGGCAACCATCAAGCTGTGCTCTGATTCTGTGAGTAGTTTTCTGTTTAGGGTTGATCTCTGAGCATTTGAAAATCCACATGTAACTTCTGATCCCTCCAAAACTTTAAAGCCATCCTGTGGTATCCTTGGGGGATTTGGTTTCAGGGTCCTTGTGGATAACGAAATCTGGACTTAAGTTCTTTATAGTCAGCCCTCCATAGCTGCGGATTCTGCTTCTGTGGATTCATCCAACCAACATCCATGATTGGTTGACTCCATGAATGCAGAACTGAGGGATATGGAGGCCTGGCTGTATTTATTGAAAAAAAAAAACCATGTATGAGTGGATGCTGATCAAGGGTCAATTGTATTAATCTCTGGTTTATCCCTAAATTCATTACAGCAATTCAACTCTCTTTTTCGTATCTTCAAATATGGACACTAGCAGTTCCTCTTCTCTGGACCATCTCTCCTGTAGCATCCTACCCTCTCCTAGTTCTGTGCTGGTGCATACTAAGATCTCGCATGGCTGATCTCCTGGGACCTCCCTCGCCTACTGTCCTTTACCTTTCTTTTCCTAATAGTGTCTTTTGTATCCTGCATTGCTGTCGAGTGGTCCAGTGCTATTGTGATTCTTGAACTATTACCCTGATTTCATTCTTTTCCTAAAGATTTTAGAATGGTCACTTTTTCCTGAAGTTCCGGAATTTCA